ACAATATTTTACTTTGCTCAAATTTTGTGAATGAACGATTGATATTTTTTGATTGTCTACTTTGGCATTTTGTTTTGTTTGTGTTGGAGTTAGGTGAACCCATGGTACAATGAATTCAAGGTAGGGCAGAACTACCATATGATTTAAATTTTTTTATTTTTCTGGCTTAATATGTCAACTTCATTTGCTTGTGTGTGTGTCTTCTTTTCAATAATAAAAAATTGTTCAGAAAATATTCAAGTTCGGGTGTTTTCAAAATGCTTATTACAACGAATGCATCGACAAAATCTACAGTTTTTGTCGCGAAATAAACCATAAGAGATATATAGAACATGATATTGAATAGAAATTTTGACCATTCATTCAGTTTTCGCGGTTTTAAATTATTTATTCAAAATCAATGCAACAAGTTGTTTGCTTTTTTATTGTTTTGATAGCAATTCTGACATTACAAGCCAAACAGGTAGACCTCTATACTTGAATTTTTTTCAAAGTTGACCTACCTTCTCTTCATTGTACCATGGGTGAACCCATGGGTGAACGAAAATTTGCCTATTGAAAAAAAACTCTTTTTATTTATTTACGTATGGAAACCAAAAATTCTATTTGTTTGCCATTTGCCTTACAGTTGGAAGAAAAATAAGTTTGGTGAACAGGCTATAATATATAATATAAAGCTAATAAATAATATAAAGCTCATTTCACCTATTGCTCATTTCAACTATTGCCCAAATTTCAAAAAATTGTTTGTTTTCAAAAAGAATTTTTGTTTATTTTTTATTATTATTATTTTTTTTGATTGTGTCCATTGGATTTGGATGTGCCATGTCGGTGCCCAGACATAATCCCCAGTGCAATTTTGGGAATTATTAGCCTGTTCACAGAACATTTTTTAAGACAGACAAGCAATTGCTACCCAGACAATCAAGTTTTTATTTCAGTTAATTTTCTTTTTTCGTCTGGGAGTAAAAGTTCATTTCACTTATTGCCCTACTGTCAAACATCTTTTTATGTTTCTAAAAAGAAAATTTGTTTTTGTAAAAATGATTGCGTCCGTTTGTTTTGGAGGTGCTGTGTCGGTGTCCGGACATAATCCTTATAGCAATTATGGGTACTATTAGCCTGTTCACAGAACTTTTGTGTAAGACAGACAAGCAATTGATACCCAGACAAGCAATTTTTTATTTCAGTTCATTTACTTTTTTCGTCTGGAAGTAAAAGCTCATTTCAACTATTACCCTGCTGTCAAAATTTGTTTATGTTTCCAAAAGAAAATTTGTTTATTTTTTAAAAATGATTGCGTCCGCTGGTTTTGGAAGTGCCGTGTCGGTGCCCGGACATAATCCACACGGACGTGTGGATTGTAAATATGCAATGGGGATTATGTCCGGGCGCCGGTTTTGAATTTCTCATTTTAAATAAAAGTGTAAATGGGGGTTGCGGAAATATCGACCTAATCCGCCAAAGGTTAGGTGATGCCACAAACCTCGAAATATTAGTTTACATATTCATTTATCTATCTCGCTGAACTGGGTCGATTTAGCTATATGTGTCCGTCTGTCCATTTTCATTTGTAATCACGCTACGGGTCACTATTATGATGCAAACCTAACGAAATTTTGCGTTGAGTCAGGGATAGGGTCAGAATAGAAATCTGAAATGGAGCAACAAGAGATTCTGATTTTGTAGCATCTCAGGTCATAATTATATACCAATTGGCACATAGTTATGCGTGGGGTTGGAGTTTAGAACAGCGAAGAGGCGCGCCTGCCGGGATCGACACAGCACAGCGGTTAAAATGAACGATTCATATTTCTTGATTGTCTACTTTGGCATTTTGATTTTTTTGTGTTAGAGGTAGGTGAACCAAAATTTGCTTAAAGAAAAAAGCTCTTTTTTATTTACTTACGGAAACAAAAATTTTATTTGTCTGCCATTTGCCTTGCAATTCTAAGAAAATAATTCAATTTCATAATGGAATGAGAATTATGTCTAGGAAAAAATAAACCACAGAAAGTGGCGGACATAACCACCATAATAATGGGTATGTCCAAAGACTTTCTCCTCTGGGAGAAACACAATTTTAGTTTCAAACACAATTTTATCTCTGTTTAAATTTTGTGAATGAACGATTGATATTTTTTGATTGTCCACTTTGTTATTTCGTTTTTTTTTTTTGTGGTCTCCCGCAAGGGTCTGAGCTTGGCCTCTTCTTTTTATTATGATCATTAATGACATTGTGGGTTCTATGTCTAATTCTAGGTGAGAGGATCTCTCTCATTTCTAATTGAAGTGCAGATCTCTCTGAGTTGGAAAATGTGGCAAACACTACGTTGGGATTGCTTTCTATGTGGATCTCCTCTAATAGTTTGTCTGTCAATTGTTGTGCACCTGTGTTGGCTCCTTTGTGTTTAGCGTTGTGGATGAGATGAGATGTTTAGGTGTTAGATGAAAACGCACACGAAACAGCAAAGAATCAACATGATTACACCAAGCTTAATTTTTCGCGCATGTTGATTATTTGCTGTCTCGTGCAGCGTACGAAAATAAACTATTGGAAATGTTTGCAATCGTTTCGTTCTGTATTTTCTCAAAGTACGAAAGGAAACAAAACCGATATTAAGGGTATTATGTCTTTGTGCATTTGTTTGTAACATGGAGAAAGAAGCGAGATAGACCCATAGTTACTTTTGAAGATCTCCATAGAATCACTTTCTGATCGTCCGTCCGCCTGTCCATGTATTCTTGTGAACAAAATGCAGGTCGCATTTATTATCCGATTGAGATGAAATTTTCCAAACAATAGTTGTTTGGCCCAAGGACGAACCCTGTTGAAATTGGATAATCGGTAAGAATTTAGATATAGCTCCCATATATATCTTCGTCCGATTTGCCTTTTATTGTGCACCAAACTTGTAATATCAGCCCGAATAGTATGAAATTTTGCACAAACAACTAAATTAGGCCTTAAAATAAGTATGCCAAATTTCGAAATCGGTTCAGATATAGCTATAGCTCCCATATATATCGTTCATCCGATTTGTTATTTTTGTCCTCCGCAGCCGTAATATGCATTCTGTAACAACAATATTTGGGAAAATAAAACTAAACTTTATCGAGATCGGTTCAGATTTTAGATATAGCTCCCATATATAGCTTTATCCAATTTACCTTTTATTGTGCACCAAACGTCTAATACTTGCCCAAATGGGATGGAATTCGGCACATACGACCGAATTGAGTCTAGAAGGTAGATATAGCTATATCTCCCATAAATATTGTTCATTCGATTTGTTGTATTTGTTACCCACAGCCGTAATATTCACTCCGTAAAAACGATATTCAGGGAAATACATCAAATACAGCTCAGAAATATCTTTGCCAAATTTTATCAAGATTGGTTCAGATTTGGATATAGCTCCCATATATATCTTTATCTGATTTCAAATTAATTTTGCACCAAATTGGCAATAAAAGTCCGAATTTAAAAGATACAAATGATTCGGCATATTTAGTCCTTTGAACTTTATACTTATAATCATAGCGTGTATGATTGAATTCTCCCATAAAAACTTTTAGTTGTTATTTGAAGCTCTACTAAATTAGCAAAGTGGTGTAGGGTAACATAAAGTCGGCCCAACCCGACTTTAGGGCTTTCTTTACTGTTTTTTTTTTTGTTTTGTATTGTTTGTGTAGATGAGTGGAAACAAAAACATAACTGAAATGTACCATGCTGGATGACGCAACATTGGAAACGAGACAGTACAATACACATTGCAAACGTTTCCCTGTATATCAGATCATTACAAATAATAAAAAACTAAATTAATATATATTCATGACTTTTTATTCATTTATTATGTTTATCATACAATAGAAAACAGTAGAAAACCCCAAAAGTTGAGTAAAAATTCTGAATGTACCAGACATTATTTGGTACCGCAAACGTTTGGAAACGTTTCCCAGTGATTTGTTCGCAAACGATACAGCTCGGCAACTCACAACCGATGTACATTAAGGCAATCGTATTGTTTGTATACTTCTGGCATTGGTTTTGTTTTGTTCGGAGTACAGTACGATTGAAAAAATTTAAAAGTTTGTGTCTTCGTGTTAGCGGTACGTTAATCGTTTCGTTTGTTTTCGTTCGCTGGTCTCGTGTGCATTTTCCGCTTAGAAGGCTCTATAGTCTACAAGCTCATTTGGCTCTTGGTAGCCAGATCTTTATTAATGTCTCATGTCAACTATTGTTTGGAGGTCATCTCTGGAGCCAATACTTGCCAAATTCTGCGTAATTTTACATGTTCTTTTGATATATACCGGAAGAGGTGTTTTGAATATTTGTCTGTTCATTGAATTTCTGGTTGCGATTTATTTTTTGTTATTGGCTGGGACCATTTTTATGGTTGTTTATTTTTCATAGAGTAATTTAATTGTTTTTTTTTTTCTCTTTTTTAGGGATTTTTCGATGCTTGTAGTTGCTACATTCGCTCGGTTGAAAACGAGTGATGGCTAGTCCCCGAATTTATTGATGTATCTTTCCTTTTTCCTCTCTGTCTTGCTTAATTGCTGTTCAGCTTGGTGGAGATGTGTTTAAGGGTCTTATTATTGTTATTTTAATTATTTTTATATAAATATATGGTATAATACTTTGTTAATTTTTGTTATGAAAACTATTCTATATCTTCACTCTTAGGAGCAACTATCTATATAATTTCGAAAAGTACCGACATTTTATCAATAAAAAATTGCTTTCGTTGATAATTGGCGTTAATTCTTTTGTTAACTTATTTGAGAATCACACTACAAATCGAAATAAAATATCATATTGTTAAATTCAAAAGCTGGGTATACTCATTACTCGAATGCTTCATTATATTCGTAAGGACCATTCAAATGTTTTATTTTTCATATAAATATAACTTGTATGCCAAGCAAAAATAAAAACCTACTACTCGTTTAGTTTAGGGTCCTCCTTTAGTACCGTTTTTAGAATTTTTATATAAATTTATATATTTATGTTCTTTTACAGATTTTTGATGAAATTGAGCCATGAAACCGTGACTATGGAGTTAAAAAATGGGACACAGATACATGGCACGATAACAGGAGTAGATGTGGCCATGAATACGCATTTAAAGTCAGTGAAAATGACCATAAAGGGAAGAGATCCTGTTCAATTGGAAACGCTCAGTGTAAGAGGAAATAACATAAGATATTTTATTCTACCTGATAGCCTTCCACTTGAAACACTGTTGATTGATGACACCCCAAAGTCAAAATCGAAGAAAAAAGAAAACAATCGCGTTGGAAATAGAGGTCGTGGACGAGGAACACGCGGTCGTGGCGGCCCACGAGGGAGGGGTAGGGGGAGAGGTACAGCGAGACGATAAAAATACTAAAATGGCATTTAATTATGAGTTATATAAATTGCAAAGTACATTTTTATGTTTATATAATTTATAAATACACTGAAATGAAGCAATTGTTTGTATTACTAACCATTTCCAAAATCTTAGAAGCTGCATGGGCCGAAAAAATCATTAAAAGGATATGTAATAATCTGACAATAGACGCCTCATACATTGGTAATTGGTAAGTTAAGTAGAACCACCAATTTAAAGAACCACCGGTTTAACGAATTCGGCATTTAACGACCTTTTTAAAAGCCTATGATGTAGGAAAGTGGATTCTTTAACAATGTTGTGTTTTGTTTCATGCTGAGACTGATATTAATGACAAACACAACATTAATTTAAAAGAACAACTGAGTATCAACCAAATAATATAGTTGCCGCCAAATCTCTAATATTGGGAGAACTTCAAGAAGAGGCGATACAAAAAACGCTACAACATCCTGAATTAAAAAGAATTAAATTTGTTTCCGTTGAAGTAATTATAGGTATAATTCTTATATTAGATCTCTTTAAAAAAAATAAATAAAAGGTTATTTTGTTTGTTGTAAGTTTCAGATATTCTTTAAATTTGCATACCAATTCCTTTTATTTTAATTACAACTATAATAAAGGCTATTGTTGTTAGTAAAATTAGGTTATTAGTAGGTAGGTAAACAAGCCTTTTTATAAATAGTACTCGGTTAACGAATTTTTCAATTTAACGAACAGGGTTGAAAAACTACTGTATTTTTTAATTTCATCAATTTTATTTAGTTCGTGTGTATCTTGTAATCATTTTGTTCTACCGACGTAGTCAGGTTATGTCGGTTGCGTGTTTTCAGTACCAAGGGTCTTGGATGACTGCGCTATTGGTGACGTGTGCAACATCTTCCGTCGTAAATTGTGATGGTGCCTTCTCGGCACTTTCACGCCATTGAATGATGATAAATCATCCTTCATTCTAGGGTTTAAGAGAGTTCCCAGAATTGACTCAATGCGGTACTGGTGTGGAAATAGTTTAGATGGTCTAACCACTTTTCCGCTTATGTTCTATAACTGCGGATCATTGGGGTTAGGCCGGCGAATATAGCATATAGTCCTTTCTAAGTCGAAGATGGGATAAACTACTGTGCGTATGGAAATTTGAACGTAAATGTACTAAAAAGAAACGTGTAGTAACTAATATGTTTTAATACTTGGGTTCTGGAAACAAACTTCTCTACTTTTAATGTAAGAATTTCGGGGGTACACAATCAAACATTTCACATAAACGAAGTCCGATCGAAGGCCCTATTAATTTCGTATTTAGATTGTTGAGAAAACGATTTTTTCCGTTTTAAAACCACGTTTCATTTTGCAAGTGATGTAATTTATAGATTATCAGGAATACCACAGGAGCAAATACTGAACCAAAGTTTCAAAATTTAAATAAAATACGATTGTTTATTAAAACAAATAATGAATGGAAAATGGTGTAGGACAGATTGGCTGGTTCGACAGCAAGATGAAAAGTAAATAAATAATGTCGAAAGAGGGAGTCGGTGGCACATTGAAACTCGCATTTTGATAGTTCAATGTTGTAACACAGAGAAATATGCAAATTGTTACGAGTATAGAATTCAATAAAGTCGCAAACACAATGGAGACGACACCTGATAAGACCCACCCTAAGATGGTGTAGTGGGCTTTGGCATACACATCCACTCTACTTGACATAAAAAATGACGGGCGGGAATGATGAGCTGACATACGTTGTAGTTATCAACGGACAAATGTGGTTCGGACAGTACCTTGGACTAGAAATAAAACACGATTGTTTTAGTTTCTTAATTAAATAAATATATGGTTCTTTATTGATATTCCAATCAATAGGTGACCAGATTTACCTTAGTAATTACACACGAACGTGTAATGTTTACAATGTTGAGCACAAACACTCAATGATAGCAAGACGGAACCACCAAGACAGACTGAAGTAAGATGGTAGCTTTAACGCCAATTCGTTGAAATCTGATATTGACATATCAATGTTGCAATAAGAAGTAGTGAACAGATTTCGAAATCATCCTGAGATGGTGTAACAGTATAAATTAATTTGGTTAATAGTGTAAAGTGGGGGTACAGTGCAGTATGTGAGCAGTTTCGAAAGTAAACGATAAACAAATTGATAGTTCAATGTCGCCAAGAACAAACAGTTATGGATTCGGACTTGATTTTTAGATGCCAGTTGCAAATTTCATTTAAGTTTTGATTTCACAATTCGCTCTATAAATTTTAGCAAAAGTCTACATTTGGAGTGAACTTTGGGGCATGATTACTAGAAAGAAAATTTTAGAAAGAAACGACAAATTTGTCCAAAGAGTTAAAAAAATCTGAAAGTGAGTTAAATTTGTTGGGAATATACCAAAATATTGGACAGCAGTAATTTATTTTGTCCACAATATACAAAAAGCAAAATTAATCTAAAATGTCCACCATGTCCACAAAATATAGATTAAAATATTCAGTATTAGAATAAAAATTTATTTAAAACTAAGCAAATTATGTTTGTCTATTTAACTAACACTTAATATGCCATTTATATATAATATACACAAAAAATTTCTACTTTGTATTAAACATGCTATTAAACTACACTCGACCGACCCTAATGGTGTAGCCCACACATATCAAAGAAGAACAACCAATCAACGTATGTATGTTGATTACTGACGGTCAAGCGACGGCTAACAATATCAAGGGTATCATGTTTTCACTGTATGATCGAATATACAACGATAAAGCAGTAAGGCAAGGCCCATGGTAGATTTAACAGGTAACCGCATCGGCGAATAGCTACAACAAAGCAACTTTTGTGGTACCCTTAAATGTCAAAATTGGCATGAGAATACAAGAATGAAAATTGTGTAGGACAGATTATCTATTGGTTGGTTCTACAGCGAGGTGAAGAGTAAATAAATCATGTAGCAAGAAGGTGTCGGCGACAAATTGAAACTCGTTTGAATATGCATTTTTGACAGTTAGTTATTATTCTAAATTTAACATAGGCCACCCCTGGAAAAATTACTAATGTTGAAACACAACCAACTTTACAATAAATTATAAATTACAAATAATAATGGTAAATGAAGAAGTACAGTGCAGATGTGAGCAATTCATTTCAATTTATTTTCGATTTCAGAAACCCTGTATCGCCAGAAGCTTAACACCACTTTGGCATACACACACCGAAAACTAAGGCTACTCTACTTGACATAAAAAATGGCGGGCGGAAATGATGGGCTGACATACGTTGTAGTTATCAGCGGACAAATGTGTATCGGACAGAATATTGAACTAGAAATAAAGCACGATTGTTTTAGTTTCTTTATTCAATAAATATATTGGTTCTTGATTGACATTCCAATCAATAGGTTACGAGATATACCTTTGTAATTATACACGAACGTGTAATGTTTACAATGTTGAGCACAAACAACATCCTGGGATGGTGTAACAATATAAATTAATTCGGTAAATAGATTAAAGTGATGGTACAGTGCAGGATGTGAACAGTTTCGAAAGTAAACTATAAACAGATTGATAGTTCAAACAGTTATAGATTCGTCTTGATTGCAAAGTATTTTTAGATGCAAACTGCAGTTACGGATTTGCTCCAAAATTTGTAGCCACTTCACAATACGAGATTTTAATTTCACTCGAGATTTAATTTTGTGTATTAACTACAAGGAAATGTCTTACGTAGTTTCAAGTGTGTGAGCGTCCAGTTACAATCCAACCAAACATCGTATTTTGAGCAAGCAGCGAGACAGAAGTAAGCGAAAGCTCTGATCTTTAATAATTCCAGGATACAAGTCTACTCCTATCAATATATCAACTCGACATAAACTTTTTAGGATCTGCTAATACGACATTAGATATTTGATCCCTAAGGTTGGAAGTGACCGCAAGCAACGGTAAATTTCCTGGGATCGAATCCAGCACGACCACTTATGATTTCAGAGACAACGAACAGTCTAGGCTACTTTTAATTTTAATATTACAAGCTTTGTTCGACCAACCAGCTACGTGGTGGAACAATATATAGTAGGGGAGAAGAATTGGCTGGGGAGGATCTTGGAGTTGTTACCGTCTTGTTAACAATTTCTATGTAGTATTTCTTATGGAACACTTTTTAATTTTTTTACTGGTAATTCACTCTAAACTTGCTCTTAAATTTTGAAATATTAGAAAAAGATACTTTTAGTGAAGAGGACTTAAACAAAGTTGGTTTTTGTGTTGGTTTCATTTAGGGCGAAATCAGTATTACAACAACTTGTGTTGACATTTAAAGGTGTCGTCAGCTGGGGTGATGCGACTACCTAGTAGATCTGCCTTGTCAAGGCCTATTAAATAGGTCGTTCCAAGGTAGATTTAACAGGTAACCGCATCGGGTATTTGCTACAACGAAGCAACTTTTGTGGTACCCTCAACTGTAAAAATTGGCATCTAAGGCGAAAAACAGACAGTCGCCATGACATTTAAAGTTTGCGGCTAATTTGTTTTAACCAATCAGAAACGAAGAGTTTGTTTGAAACTCGTTTGAATATGCATTTTTGACAGTTAGTTATTATTCTAAATTTAACATAGGCCACCCCTGGAAAAATTACACAACCAATCAAGGTAGATGTACTAGGTAATCGCATCAGCCCAGCTGAAGGCACCATTAAATGTCAAAACAAATTGTTGTAATGAAGAATTCGCCCTAAATGAATGCAACAACAAATTTGTTTATGTTGTCTTCCCTAAAAGTACCTTTTCATTTTTCAAATAATTTAAGAGCAAGTTTAGAGTGAAACCAGTAAAAAAATTAAAAGAAAATGAAGGAAGGAGGTTAGAATGGAGTGCAGCCTTAAGAATTAAGTTAGCCTCAACATCTAAGATTCCCAAAGCACATCACGGGAAGTAGTGCAAGAATTCGACTCTTGCTATTTTCAGTTCCGCAAAACTTTCGGTTTAAACCAGTAAAATATAGTCATTATAAGTTTCTTGGTTTAAAAAAAAAAAATTAAAAATATACAATTATTTGTTTTACAATAAAAACTTTTAT